TTTTTTTTTTTTGCTTATGTGGTGCTGAGGAATCGAACCCAGGGCCTCCTGCATGCAAGGCAAGCACTCTACCACTGAGCCAACTTCCCAGCCCCTGCTCTGGATATTTTTAAGTCAGTTGTTCTTCTTGTCCTCACCTTCTCTCTCCAGAAGCAGCCATTCTCCTTAGTGTTGATCATTCCCATTAATTTTCTTCACTAGAACTAAATATGTACCTCCAAGCCACAAACTATCATGGCCTATTTTATAACAATGACATACTATAAATAGGCTCCTGAAATGGGGTTTCTTTTCTTTTCTTTTCCATTCAGCATTATATTACTGAGATGCGGCAATGTTGATGCAACCTACTTCATCCTTTTCATTATCGAGTAGTACTTACTTACCCATATGCTACTGACAGGTATTTTTTTCTATTATAAACATTGCTGTTATAAACACAGTATTTTTAAGATTTTGCACATTTGGGGGCATAGCCTTAGAAGATGGTTACAGATTCGTTTAAGAATACTGTATATCTACTGGTGGTTCATGCCTGTATTAAGGCGTCTGAGATCTGAAAAATCTCAGGTCAAAGCCTGCCAAGGCAGGACTTTTGTCTCCAATAGTGTTTACACTAGATACTAGAAAAATAAAGAACATTTAACACTCGAAAAGATTTGGAGGTCTGGGGATGTAGCTCAGTTGTAGAGCTCTTCTCTAGTGAGGCCTACAGTCCAAGGAAAGCAAGCAAGAAGGAAGGAAGGAAGGAAAAGAAAGGGAAGGCAGGAGAAAATACAGGAACTTTAATATTAAACATAACTTCAAGAGAATGGAAATATAGCAAGGTTTTATTCATGGGATAGTTGGGTTAGGGAAAAAAAATCTTTTCATTTAATTATATTACTTTCTTACAGATGTCTTCCAAGCAAGCGATCATTCTTTAGGCAAAGCATCGCCATCAGGAGTCTTGCCAGCATTCCCTTGGGGACACAGACTCAGGCGAGGGAAAAGAAAAGGCTAGACATCTGTACTCAATGGAAAAAGGAAGAACACACCTGCGGAGCATTTCGGGCGAAGGGACCGATAAGGAAATAGGAGAGGAGGCTGTGCTTCCAATCTGTTGCTAGATTATAAGATTAATCCATTCCCGGAGGCCAAGCATACTTAAAAACTGGGGACAAGACTGGGGGGCGGGCGGGTTCTGATGAAACTCCTTCCAGGAAGTTTTCCCAGCATGCCCTGAGCCAAGTTTGGATCAAACTTCCAAGCATAGTGTGCACATCTCTTTCATGCATTCATTCGTCCGTTCGTTCATTCACTCGTTCCCCTTTTTCTGGAGCACCTACCATGCTCTAAGCGCGGGAGTAGGGGGGCAAAAAAAAGGAAGAAAAACAGCAACAACAACAACAAAACTTCGGGTATTTATTTGTATTGGTGTCGTCTTTTGATCCTGCCCACAACTAGGAAGAATTCCCGAGTCATTTTTTTTTTTTTTCTAATCGTTGGGGTTTAGCACCGTGTCTAGGTGCTTAATGAACAGAAGAAGTACTATAAGGAGTGTTTTTGATGAGGGATGTGGCTGTAGCCGCTTGTAGAGGAGAACGCGGGGACAGGGCATGCAAGGGAAAGGCAGCTTTACTGGAAACCGTGGGCAACCCACAGCGTTCCAGCGCCGCTGCTGGAACTAGAGGAAGAGAAAAGTTCTGGGAGGACTGGGGGGAAAGGGCCGCCTCTTTCTCCTCCTCGCGGGCCGGAGGGATGGGGTGGAGGGTGGGTGGGGGTGGCTAGGAAGGGGGCCCGCTGCGCTCCCCAGGTCCCCGCCCCCCCCCCGAGCTCCTTACCAAGTCAATGGCTACAATGTCTCGCCACGCCACGACCCCCCGGATGGACTTGGGCGGGTTCTCGGTCAGGTAGATGAGCCGATCGCTGAGCACCACGTACTTCAAGGTGTGCTTCTCTGAGTCGGACACCACGATGCACGGTTCGTAGGCGCGGATGGCATCGTAGACCTCCGGCGGCAGACGCCGCCGCAGGAACGCATCCAAGCGGCTGTTCGTCCGCTCGGGGAAGCCGGAGCGCGCGGGGCTGGCCATGCGGCGCCCCCAAGTCAGGCCCAAGTGCCGGGTCGCCCAGCGCCTCTGCCCGTCTGGATTCCCCGCGCCACCGCAATGGAACCTACGGGTGCCACGAGCCACCGCCTCCACCTCTCCCGGGCGCGCGCGGGGAGCCAGGCCCCCCCACTCCGCTTCAGGGATTGACTCAGGGTACCGCCCCTAATCTTTGTCCAAAGATCAGACAGCGATGGGCGGGGCAGAGATGCTGGTACTTGCAGGGTGGACCAGTTCCTGGAATTACTCACCGCCAAACCCTCTCCCGTGGTCCGGGAAAGACACCTTCGGGGGGTCGTTCCTCCCCACCCGTCTCCTGGCTTCAGCCTCCGCCCCGTCCTCCTCCAGCTACTGTGGACCACACCATCACAGGCTAACTTTATGAACGGAAGCCAGATGTGGTCTCGTTTCCTCTAAAAGAGAAACTTGAAAACAATGGAATTTACCCATTCTTCTTTTTTTTTTTTTAGAACACTACAAAGACCCAGATTTTTCGCACTTGGTTATGACATCGCCCGGTATAGTTCTCGAACTCGTCTAGCGTACAAACACAAGAGTTTTCTCCCAATCAGCTGGGAGCTCTCTCAAAGGATTCTTGGATTGCTTGTACAACGCAAGTCTGTCAGAGAGCTATTCTTTACGTTCCCAATGCTCAGGGCATTCTGCATACGCCAGTGACGCTGCCATCCTGAGAACCTGAAGCTCACCTATGAGCTGACTACATAATCCCGAAGATGCAGAGCAGGAAAAGCCCTGCTTAGTTTTGTACGGGCCAGGAATAACAACAGGGTAAGGACACAAGAGGAGCAAAGAAAATTGGGTACGCATTATCATGTTTATTTCAAACCTTAGAAGAAAACACCAGGGGCTGGGAAGGTGGCTCAGTGGTAGAGCGCTTGCCTTGCATGCTCGAGGCCCTGGGTT